GAACAATACTTGCAAGTTGAAAACCATATAATCATCTTCTTAATATAATACAAATGTTACTTGTCAATTCATGTTGCAACCAGCTAGATTCGAACCACACATTCCATCAAAAGCATTCAATACTAAGCCTCTTGTTACGTTCTGGAAGTTGCTTTAGTTTGTCCACTATCGCTTCTATCTCCAACTTCATGCTTGCAGGATAAGACGACGTCTTGATCATCAATTTCTTTGTTACCCTCCCTTCTGTCACCAAAAGGAAAACTAACGCCAATTCTTCAATGTTTGAACCACTAAAATTATACATTCTCACAACTTTTATGCGGAAATCAGCATTGAAAAACCAATTTCCTTTCTCCCAAATCTTCTCTTGTTCTCCGCCAATAGAAGATTCACCTTCTAATTCCTTAGGAACATTGTTATGCTATAGATACAAGAACATACATTCAAACATATATCGAATCTTATAGATATTATAAAGAAAAATGATCAAAGAGAGAAAATCGGTTTACTCTATCTAACTAAAATTGAAGCATAAAATGAATGTACCTTAAAGAAAATCTCAAGATCTTTTATTTCTCCTTCCCATGCAACCAAGACTTGTTGTAGCATATAAACTTCTTCGGGATTCATTAAATCCACACTCACAGCTAAAGATGTAAACCGTAACAAAAGGTCAGTATGTTTGCTCACCACGTATCCATATCCCACGTTTTCTTCATCCTTCAATTCATATGAGTAAATTAAACATGTCAAACAATATAATTATACTTTTAAATTATATTTATTTAAATGTAATTGCTTGTGCTTGTACCTTAGCATTATATGAAATATTGTAGCTCATGTGAGGTATCTTTCCGTCTCCTGCCCAATAATTTTTGCTACACTGGAGTAGTCTAGGGGCCGTGAGAACGAAGTTATCTTTTGTGATAAAATTGTCAGTGGAGAAGATATCAAGAAGAGCTGCAGACACTTCAATGCCATCAATATCAGTGCAAGCCAAATGCAAGAGCTTTAAATTGTTGTTATAAATCTTGAAACAACCAATTTGGCTGTACCACTTGATGTCTAGTACGAGCACTTTGAGAGAGGGGCAAGATGCAATAATTGTGTTCAACACACCAACCTCAACGCAAATTTTTTCAAGCTTGAGAACCAGTAGATTATGACAGCCGTTGAAAGCATGCGCAGTTTCTAAATCGTATCGATTCATGTAGAGTGTTTCAAGGGTTGGATGTGAGAACATGTTTGGAGACAAGTTGATCACTCTAGCTCTCTTACGATGACCAAGAAGGTTTAGAAGTACGAGAGTTTTGGTGTGTTTCACATGAATCAGTGATTGAATCCAACTTTCAAGCATACCATTTCTAGATTGGTATGAAAAATGATGGATTGTGCAGCACAATAGATGGCCATAGTGATTGTTTATAACCTTCAAAAGAAACACAAAATTGATGATTAAACAAAATATATATACATACACTCGTACAATATCAATAAAAGCCCATTTTTTTCTATCTTACATCTTGGAAATTATGGAAAACATTTAAGACATGTTATAGAGATGTATATGCTTAAGTCTCGCTGATAAAGATCTGTATATGAATCTATAGTTTATCAATTGTTAAATTCAAGAAATTGAAGGATAATTATATTAAGAGGTTATGTTTTTCTAGATTCTCATTAACTATAATATTAACTCATTCACAATTATTCCCAATTTTTTTCAAAAAAATTAAATAATTATTTGCCTGAAATATCGTTATCATTACTTACGCGCGTAATATCGTTATTATATTTATATTGTTATTTAGTTACCTCTTCGTCGTTATATTAATAAATTGAAGGATAATTATAATAAAAGATTATGTTTTCCAAGATTCTCATTTTCTATAATATTAATATATATTCACAATCTATTACCTACGCGTGCAATACCGTTATTATTATTTTCGCGCGTAATATCGTTATTTTGTTATATTTTCTAAATAATTGATTGAAAATGGTAAGAAAGAAATAATGCAGAAGTGAAAACCTTGGTAATCAATTGAGCAACATAATCAGAACGATTTGCCAGATATTTCACGTCGTACTTAAGAGTATATTTCATATCAAAATTGAGAAAAGGCAGTTGTTTCCAAACATCCCCCCATCGTTTCGATAGTATACACGTCTTGACAGCTTCTTCTGTGGACAAACTAGTTAGGATCATGAGCAACACATCGTCAGGGAGGTTGCTAATCCGATCAACGTTTTCAACAAGAATCCGTTTGCCCCTTGCATCTAATGGTAGTGATGATGGTGATGTAGCCATGGACGGGATATATGATGAAGCGAAGGGGTTTTGAGAGAGAGACATGAAGAGAAGAGATGATTTTGCTTGGACACTAAGCAAGAGAAAAAAGGATGTGAGATTCTCTTTATATAGGTGAGGGAAAGGAGATGAAAATGAAGATATACCAAGGATATATACACAAAGAAGATATTTGGATGGTGTTATTTTTAAAG